GCTGCCCTTGAGGTCAACCGCATTTCTTTTATTGTTATAAATATCAGAATGGATTTCTTTATTCATAAATTATGATTACTTTTCACCGCCTCACAAAAGTCGGAATCCCAGGTACTCTCACTTAGGAATGATATATCCTTTACGGTTTTAAAATAATAACTTTAAGATATGACTTTTTGGTAACAATAAACGAGTACTTTTGACATAATTTGATTTTATTACTAAATATAACAATTGATTTAAAAATTATATTATCAAACCTTTTTAAAATTAGTAGTAGCAAGAATGTCACGGCCAATTACAGAATATTAACGCGTCATTTAAATGCGACTGATTAATATGTCAACAAATCTTTCATATTATGATAATACTAAGTTAGATACTACTAAGTTTCAAACTAAGCAGAACTTGTACTATGAAAGCTAGATTGAAAACGATAATTTTTGGATACGGATATTTTTTGTTTGATTAGCTGTTGCCTTATTTAATTGTGGCTTTGACGAAAATGGAGGCATGATGACCGACATTTATAATTACCATTAATGACTGATGAATATTAAAATCAAACCGTTATATCATTATACACTTCCTTAAAGAATGACCTCGATGGAAAAAATAATAATATGTTACCTCATGGTTATAATTTATTCAAAGCTTTAGGACCCATGAGCGTTTAACACAATTTTATAATAACTGTGGCAACATCTGCTTACTATGAAACTTACTTAAAGTTCATTTAGCGAAGATAAGCCACACTACGTAAGTTTACTTAAGTATTCTCGAATATTCTCGCGACAGTTATTCATATTATATGTATATCCGTTTGGCGACGGATTAAGAATACAGTGTCACCACCCCCATTCATCCCGTGGGTGTCGTAAGAGTTGACTAAGGGAGCAAACTCTGCAAGAAAACAGCACTGCAAAGAGAAGGAAAACTTGAAATAACCCCATACCTACCAACCCGTCTGGCCAGCGTATTATAGTAGGCCAAAACCTTCTTTCTAAGGAAAGGTAACTATAATGTAAGTGCAGTTTAGTCAGTAAAGCCGGTGGTTTCGCTAATAAAACATGTTATTTTTAGTTACTCTAAACTTTAATTTATTTCGAAAGGTAGGTTCCGAATAAACTTAGATCATTTGTATAGATTATAGATTCCTATCTAGATATACTCAGATCTATTAGTTGCTCGGCTTGCTTCAGTGACAGACCAGACAGAAAGCATATCTTTTGCACTCCTTTTAAAAAAGTATATCCGACTCCAATACGCATATGTCATAATCTTATTCTTCTTTAAATGCCTCTCCGACTAGCGAAGGTTGGCAGTCATCTCTGCGTACTCTTTCTTGATTTTCGAGAGGCGAAAGAGATAGCACTCGCGATTCCCGCCCATTCCCAGATGTTGCGTCATAATAAATAAACTATATTCTTCATTCCTTAATTTTCCATTTCCCAAAGAAAAAAAAACCAAATCGCTTCATAAATGACGGAATTCTGAGGTAACAAAAACAAAAGCCAATTTGACCTGATCCATTTTTTTTGTCGGTTCAATCTGGTACTCAAGATAAAGTTACATTCAGTAAAATCACACAAATTGTTTTAATAGAAAGTGATCAGGTAAGAAATAATCGTCTATTATACAAATTATTGATTTCTAGGAACAAGTATCGAACCCCGAACGTAACGTATTTATGTAAAATAATTCATGTACCATTACACGTAAGCGCACAAGTGTGCACACATAACAGTAGAAACAATTATAAATATTTCCTCATTTCTTGGTTTAATTTAATATTGTTTTAATCGACTTCGAAAAATGAAAAAGGGTTCTTTTTCCAAGTCTTTTCCAAGTTCTTTTTTTTTTCGAGAAAATTGTCGATTTATTTGCAATAAAATCTTTTTGCTGTTCGAATATTTAACTTAATAGTAATTATGTTAATAGTTACTGTCAAGGTCTGTAGACCAGAATGGAGCTATTTAGACACTGAAATATTGAAAAGACAAGGTCAAGGTGGTCTAAAGAAAAAATAGAACTACGCTACTTAAACAAAACGTAGTTAACTAAGGTAAGGCGCCCTACGGCCTAGTTGTCTGCGGCGTGGAAGTATGAGCGAGTTTTTTTTTTTTTAATAATAATAATAACCTCACACATCTTACGATACACGGCCGTCTGATCCCAAACTAGGCAGATCCTGTACTATGGTAACCAGCCTGCTGATAAACATACTTATATATTTCTAAATACATACATATTACAGATAAATTACACCCAGACATAGAACAAATATTTGTCCTGGGTGGGAATCGAACCCACGTCCTCCGGCTTAGCAGTCAGGGTCACTAACCACTAGACCAACAGGCCAGTCTTAGGCCATGGTTTCTGTCCAACTTCTCAATAATGTTCTCTTACTTTACACATCAATGTCTAGTGCACATAATCACACATTTATTTATTTATTTTAAACTTAATGCACATATTGTACAAAGGCGGACTTAATGCCATTAGGCATTCTCTCCCAGTCAACCAAACCAGTCAAAAAGTAGAAATATGATGCGGTAGGTGCAAAATAAAATATTAAATTTAACATAATTTAGGTCCAGAAACATACACAATATAAAAATTTCAGCACCTTCCTCAGGTCGACTTAGAGAAAAAGCCTGTGGCATTGGGTCAGCTCTTGTACAACTCGTATTGTGCATAAAGATACAGTGTTTTATATGAATAAATCAATAAAATGTAAGTTGTACAGTTGGGAAAACTAAAAGAAAGAAAGAGAGAGAGAATTGTTTTTATTATATTTAAATATGTAGGTATTGTGATAATAATTGCTGGGTAATTAATTTGCTATGTTTGTATACTTGTATTAGTCCTAAATCACTGCCAAGATGCATATATATTTTATTACATGTATTATTTATTAATTTTATTTAGTTGTATAATCGCGTATGCATGGCACTCTAATGTCAATCGAAAACGAAGAGTCTAAATCGTCTTTCAATTTAAATTATCGATGCGCTGTGATGAAATATATTGGACTCGATTTTCTATTGATCAAATATCGAATCGAATAACAGACAACTCGTCTGACTGATTTAAAAAAGTTGCTTAGTCGAAAAAACATGGCATTTCGTTTTGACGTGATTTCATAATACATATTAAATTACCTTTAAATTTTCTGACGTTTCAAATACATATTTCTGGTTTTTATCTAACAAAATTGACGCAAAAAAATGCTTCAATTTCGTCCTCATATCTTAACAATGCAATAAAGTTAATGTGCCACACCTAAGCGAGTAAAAGAAATCGACCGCAAAATAAAATTGTAGGAAAAGGGGTTGTAACACGATGACCATGGAAGCTTTAGGCCCCGTCCACACAGCATAATTTAAACGAAAAATTTAAATCTCCGCAAAATTCTGTGACACATGGATCTATATTGGCTTATCCGCACGGGCGCAAAAAAAAACGCTCTTAAAACATCTGTAATTTGATACAAAACGAACGCGATACGGTGGCGATTTATTTCCGAAGAATTTTACGAAAACAAAACGCGCGGTGAAATATCGCTGTGCGGACGGGAGCTTAGTTTCTATTAGCTTAAATAAGGTAAATGTACAATATTCTTTATCAACAACAATATTCAACACTATTGTTTTTCTCTAGTTACATGACATATCTATAGAAAGCTTCCGTAACACCAGTTCCCATAGAATTACTGTTTTTTTCCCATACTTTACTTGACGTGATACCAGGTTATTCAATTGAAAAACACTTTTTGTGTTTGTAAGCTCATACAACGGAAGAGCATGTGCACACCTAAAATAATAATAATTACCTCCCACATCTCACACAAGGGCTTATGCTATGGTAACCATGCTGATAAACATACTTAAATATTACTAAATACGTACTTACAAATATACTAAGAGAAACTACACTCAAACACAGAACAAATGATGATGAATGATGCTCACAATTATTTGTCATGTGTAGTAATCGAACCCACGACCTTTGGCTTACCAGTCAGGGTCATTACCCCTAGACCAGCGGGCCCCGTCAAAAGTGTGACTTTTGTAACGATAAGAGCGATTATAGTAAAATATGCTTCGTCTTCACATCACAAACAAGTGGATGCGTGTATACAGTGGCGGACTAAGAAGTGACTTAGAAAAGTGCCGCCCCTATGTACCAAAGTGTAGTGTCAATTGAAATTGTTAAATATAGTGTTAATAATAATAGTGTTTTTTTTAAATGTTTTCGTTCAAGTGCCGCCCCTATGCACGGGCATTTTGTACATAGGCGTTAATCCGCCACTGTGTTATATGCTGTGTATAACTGTATACACACTACACTGTATATACATACGAGTATATGCTGGTGCTCATACGAGTATTCTGGAAACCTTCGCCAAAGTGTGTACTGTACTACTGTATACATGAACATACATTCACGTAGTATTATTATATATTATAAGCTAGCCCCCATTACGTAGAGTATTGCTACGTAATAAAGGGCTAGCCTATTGAGCTGTCTACGGAGCACTTGTTTTGATTTCGTGCTGAAATTCAGAATTCCTTTACAGATAAACTCGGTAACAATTTATTCCATCCCGATAATCAAACTCGAGCAATTAAGAATGAGAACATACACAATAGTACTAGCGAGGCATTCATATTTTTTATATTTATATGTGTTACATGTTATTTTAATAATAATTAAATAGCCTAGTAATAATTAAACAGCTACTTAACTGTTAATAAATTAAAATATAATCACTCATTAATTATCACATCAAATGTATATAATAGAACGTAAAAGTAAATTAAAAAATGAATCATAATATAACAGAATATAAAATATCTTTGTGTTTATGTTATTAATTACAACATCTTATGTATTTTTCAGAACAATAGTTTTTTTTTTTTTTTCATCTAATTGTATCATTTGTTTCTTTACAGAATGCCAGTTACGTGATCAACAGACGATACTCGAAAGACAAGATGTCACCGGTGTGCCACAACTTTGTGCAAAACGCGTGGAAAAAAGACTTCTGTTCTAATTGTTTTAAGTCACGCGAAGAGCACGTTAAACAAGAGCGGACAGGGACAGATGGCAGCAAGTACCTCGCCACACCCTTCCAAAACAGAGGCACGTACTTCAAGAAAACTCCACAAGGTATACTCAAAGTTCATACGAAGAAAAAAAGTAAAAGAAATGTCACATTCCCTGAAGAAGTATGTAGCGTTATAGGCTTTGGAGGTGACGACTGGTCAGATGGAGAAGAATTTGAAATGTCAGAGGAAAATGACGACGACGATACGTTCCCAGACACGGAAGAAGAACGAGAGCTCCTCAAAATTACCAAATCTAACACAGATTTTAACACTGTTAAAGCTAATCTGTTGGGAGATTCGGCCGCCAAATCTTACACTTCATTGTTACTGGGTAAGATGCAAACAGACTCGGATGGTAAGAAGAAGACTTTGTTAGTGTCGGTTACGCCTTTTGGACAAGAGAATAAGCCTAGTAATCATAAGTCACATGTTCGTAAACCCGCCGTTATACACGTATCAGAGGCTGCAGCGGAAGATACATCTAATAATTATAAAACAAATATAATTTTATCTTCATACGTTAAAGAAACAGAAACAATAATTAGCGCAGACAATATAAATGCATCTGCTCCTATATGCACCGAGAAGTCACTGCTCGAGGAAATATCAGAAACGTTAGAACAAAATCGAATGTCTAAAAGTACAGACATTCATTTGACTCAAAAAAATTGTAATAAACCTACAGTGGTTGATGAGAAGATGAAAGAAAGCATGCAAGATGAATCAGATAGGAAAGAAATGAGTGAAATGAAAAAGAATGGTATTGTAAGGCAATCACCGTTACACAAAACTCAAGAAAGGCCAAAGGTAAACTTAAGTCGGCCAGAATTTAAATTTTGTAAAATCAATATTGAGAGCACTAGTGTTGATTCGGCGGTTGGCACTTTAAACTCGACTGCTAATAACTCATTAGCATCTGACGACGAAAGCTTTAGCGCCCGGACCGACTCTGACAATGATGACAGCGGACATTTCTCAGAAACTAATAAAGCAGAGGAAACAGTTAAAATCAAAATATTCAGCGAAGGCGATAAGAATTACAAAATGTCACCGATTGGTCAAATAAGAAAAGCAGATGGACAGGCAAGCACTGGATATTCTACATTCCAAAGTCCGATTATTGATATGCCTCCCATATTGCCGAAACAAACAGATAATATATTTTCTGCAGAAGCCAGTCGTGAGTTGGCGGGCGAACCGGACGGTAGAGCTGACCCAGACGAGGCCACCGAAGCGCCCGCCTTACCTAAAAGTCCTATCCCCACTCTTGACTTGCGGCCGTCGTTTCTGCATGGCATGATATCTGATATACTGCCTGCTCACAAACCGGCTCTGCCAGAAAAACCGAAGCTGCCGATCAAGCCAGTTATCAAACAGACGACGAAAAAAAGTGTTATCACAACAAGCCAGCAACAGTTAAATATGTATATGCATACAAAGAACGAAGATGAAAAAATAATGACAGCGTTAAGTGATGAAAAAAATAATGAGATAACTGAGGTACACGAAGACAAACCTGAATCAATTTATTACGCGCAACCGGTTTTAACTAAAGAGGACAGTGACTCATCACTGAGCAATATCTGTAAGCGGAAAGCACCCACGCCCCCCTCATCACCCACTGTAGAAGAATACCCTAATATTTACCAAAGAAACACAAACGGGTTCATGAAATCTGATGCACCTATTGTTAGGGAATTGGAGAAACGGGAGAGGGCCACTGGATCCACATCTAACAAATCAAAACTCATAGAGGACATGCCTGAAGTGAAGAAAATTGACATAACTCCCGAACCAGCGCCTCGGAGGAACATTTCTTTATCCCATGATAACTTACTACTCGATGACAAGCGCAAAGGTAAACTTAAGTTTTCGATTAAGAAGCTGCTACGAATAGGGTCATCGAAAGATCTAGATAAAAAAGAGTTGACTATCGCAACAGTGACTAAAGTGACTAATAAACCTGAAGAGATATACGATTTGACACCGAAACCGAAGCCGCGTCTTGTGATCATACACCCGTTAGATATAAACGGGTCAAACGGAGTAGAAGTAGTCAAAACAAATTGTGAGATACCAGATTTACGACGTTTGAGTCACGATGACATATCGTCCATCTATAGTGGATCTAGTTCGGCTACGGAACCAGAAACTCCGAAAGTTACGAACAAGCCTCCCCCACCTCCTAGGCAAATTAGTGATGATCAGAAGACTGTATCAGTTGTGCCGAAGCCCGCAAGGCCGCCGCCGCCAAAGTCAGCTGCATTGCAGAAAAAACAGAAACAGCAAGCGTGGTCTGCTGCACCAACTAAGACCGATAACATATACGCGAACTTAGGTAAGTAACCATACATTCACGCCTCATTACTTGTTACTTCCTTAATTTAACTCAGTTTGTGTTATCGTGATAAAAATAACATTATTGTCATTTTTTTATTTAAACGTAGTACAGTCTCGCAATCAAAAAATTATGACTTGCCACTAAGTGTGCCTGAAGTAAGGCGTAATATTTAAAAAACAAACACAAATATTTCTATTTACCTATTTACACATATTTATTAAGTAAGATATACATATTGTATAAGTACATAGAAATACAGTAGTCACGATTTGATTATCAAGACAACAATAGACACTTTTTCGATACTGAAAATTTGCGAACGACAGACAGTATTATTGAAGGAAGCATGAATCATTAATTATTTCAAAAGCTTTTATTTGTGCATACATCACTGTCTTTAACAAAATTATTACGAGTTTATTACTACAAACATTTTTGTTCACAATAGTAATCTTTAAGATGATATGTGATTCATGATAAGTGATTTTTTTAATCTTGTATAAGCAAAAATACACCTCGGGAACTGATCATAGCATAGATATTATTTTAACAAAAGATTCAAATCATAAATTAAAGAGTATTTTGATTATATATCTACAATCGGCATCAAAATAAAGTCTACGCGTTCTATATTTAAAAAGAATATTTGCTTGAAATTAACATAAAATTGGAATTTATTTAAAATTCGAACACCATTTAACATTTGTTTTTTTTCAACTCATCCGACATGTTTCACATTTTTATGTCGTATTTCATATTCTTGTTTTTTTCTTTTATAACTGTTTCTTACTATACTTCGTATGTTTTGAAAATCTAAAACAGTTCGTAATAATTACGCCTGCATGAGCTAAACCCCCCCTGAATCAAATCGAAAATGTAGAAAACTATTTGCATGTGTACCTACCTACCTACTAATTTAGTGTCTGTCACGTTTTAATTTCTTTTAAATGTTTATCTAAATGTTTACATCACCATCTCCATTTCATTAACAAAACACAATTTATTTAGGAGAAATCAGATCAGCGCTTGCACCGCGGAAACCAGAACGGACGGCGAGCATGCGCGAAAGAGAAGCACGTTTGGAACTACCCAAACGAAGGAATCAAATAGATGACGATAAAGACGAACTAGACGACGGACCCCAGGAGTTAGTCCAAGCGACTAATGACCCAGTTATACACAGCTACGACGACGTTTACAACACCGGCAAGTATGACGAGGAAAACTGCGATTCTGCCAAAAACAGTGACAGCGATTATGAATATGTACACCACGCCAGATCTAGCTCACCCGAATGTGATGCGTCTATAAAACCGAGAGAGAAAAACCCTTCGAGGAACGACACGAGAAAAAGTGATGAGAGTAATGGCGAATATCCCAAATATAATAACGGTGTGTTCAACAGATCGTCGCTCCCATACTGCGGTAGTGAAACAGAGTCTGAAATTTATTCTCCCTATAGCTTTTATAATTCAAATGACAATATGGACGGCCCTGGGAACGAGGATTATCCAAACGACATGACTCCTAAAACTACGACAAATAAACTGAGAGTCAGGAAAGGCCGCAGCGTGGTGCACAAGAATTTAGAAGATAATTATGGCGCAGTCGTTATAGCGAATCACGAAGCGCTCGCGCAGGTTTTAGAACAGGTAATTTATGTAGTTAACTTGTCTTGATTGAGAACTGTGATTATGCTGTACTATTGCTCGCAATTTACTTTAATTTTAATAAGACTTGCAGGGTTGCATAATTATTGGTTATTTAAAAAGATCATTGAATAGATGTATGCATAGAAGGCAGTAGATTCTTACTATATATTAAAGCCGATCATTATTCAACTTGAGCTTTACAAGTTCTTATTCAGTGACCATCTAATTTGTTTTAGTGATATACCGATAAAAAAATCACCAACTCGTATATATCCCGGGTATCCAAATAAAATTTATCAGCGTTTAAGCCAATTCAATGGTTGTTCAAGTTCAATCAAACGTCCCAAACAACCGTCCTAGTGAAGATTAGCTAAACTGAAATACTTAGAAGAGGAGGTTTCCTCAAGTTAAGAAAGAAAATAAGTATCAGATTCTAACATATGATTAACTCGAATTGCTCATTAACCAAAACCTCTACTCTATTCAGGTCCAACAAAGCGCCACAATGCAGTCTTCGCTCCGAGGCTTGAAGGCCTGCACCAACTTGAGATGGAGCGACTTCACTATCCAGTCATCTAAGACGAACTCAGTGAAAGCTGGCAAGCGATTCTTCTATCCAGCCATCTGGACGTCAAGCCAAGGGCCTGTCAACGTCACTCTCATGTTGTACAAGGAACAGATGGCTTCGCAAATGGTTTGCCAGCAGTCGATGCAACCGCAGACACTGAGCTTAAATGCCATTACAGAGTTTTGTGATTTAGTGCCTCTACAGCAATTCGGAGAAGAAGGCGATGATTTAGTACAAGGTGAGTGTAGGAATTTTTATAATCAGTATGAATAGTACATTTAAAAGAATACTAAACTGAGCTACTAAACCGGGTACCTCACTACTGGCTTGTGCTTCCCTGAGGCGAGCTGGTTTTAACTTAATTCAGTGCAAAAGCAATGTCAAAAATGGAATCTACTTACAACACTGTGACCAAGGACCGAGAGTTATGGTACGACTTTCCCGTTTCCTTCGGTTTGGTTGCCTGGGGGTAAACATGTACTGAGGTACATGTGTGAGGCAACTATTAGTTCTGGAGTACCCCTGGTTTCTGCTGCAATTTTCTCTTTTTACCCTCGACCTCGAATTCTACTGTAACTGACAAAAATTCTAAAGGGCTATGAGGCCTTACATTGTCAGGGTGGCGATATCATTTTGTGCCATATTATTTGTAAATAAAACAGCAGAAGTGTAATATGTTCAGATGTATTAAAGACTAAAATTGTGTTCTTACATATACAAATTGCTTCGTTAAAAATTCATGTATTCCACGTTGTATTTGTTACAATATGTTGATTTATGTTATGTAGTTCATCTAAATACATAATCCTGTCCATTAAAACCAGTTTATTATCTAGCAAAGATATGAATTCTTTTTGCAACCCAGATATCGATGAGAGACCATTATTATTTGACCTGATATTCATTTATTTCAAAATATCTCACATCTAAAATGAGATAATCTCTCTTGTTGATTTAACGATAAACATATATACATATAAAACATGTTACACAATGCAACGTGTTTGTGTCGTCTTACAGTTTAATTCATTAACAGCTTTTAGTAGTCCACTGCTGGACATAGACCTCTCCTTAGAAAGGAGGTTTTGGCCTACTAAACCACGCTGGCCAGACGGGTTGGTATAGAGTTTGTATCCAGTTTTCCTTTTTTTTGAGGTGCTGGTGTCCTGCGTTGTTTTGCGCCAGTTTAATTGCTTTTTGTAAATTAGCAAGGTGGTACATTAAGGCAATACAGCCTACATCTCATCTATGTAGGCTAACAGGTCGCAATATCGACATGTTGCGTCAACCAGAACCGATATATGTCATCCTGATGCATTAATTTCCTCTAATACGATAAGTCTTCTAGCAGGCATGCGATCTAAAGAAGCAACGCCTTGTCTCATCATAAAAATAGTCCAAGAAGCCTGAAACCTACTCCTTGTATAAAAATATTTCATAGGTTAAGTCCTTATTTACTTCTCTAATTTATGTATACCTATCACCATTTCAAAATGAATCCATCCAAAGGTTGCCTGGAAGAAATTGCACCAAGCGATAAGGCCGCCCTTTGTACATTACATCTGTTGTTAATTACTTTATAAAGTCTGTAAAACCCTAGTGTACAAATAAAGTATTTATCTATCTATCTATCTATAATCGAGTCATCTTACTAACCTCCATTCATGGGCGGCGATAGTCACTTTCCATCAGGTGACCCGTCTGCTTGTCCGCCCCTCTCACATAAAAAAAAAACCTCCATGAATACTTATTTGACAGTGAAGGGTACGGCTGTCCCTTACTCTAGCAGCAGCCGACTGTCGTGCCGTATCTGCTCTTTGCCTCCTCTGCCATTAAAACAAAAAAGAACAGAAAACAGTATAAAGAGCTTAGCCAGACATAAAACTTTGAATGATTATTTTAAATGCGTTTGCGTTATACTTATTAATTATATGTCAAGATTTTACACTTCTGTAATTCTAATTAGTATTGGGCTATTAAAAGATTACCTACTATCAGTATTAATATTAATCACAAGTAATAAACAACAATGATTTGTACAATAATAAACGTAGTGCATTTAAGGAACATTAAAAAATATATTAACGTTATCACGTGTATTATTGGATTACTTACACGAATAGGAGTTTGGTATAGCGGGTCATCGAAATGATATCGGCCACAAGTCACAAACTCCGACGAATGCAACATAACACTCCTCGGAGCTATAGACGAAACGAATTCAAACTCTAAATCGAAAATTCGCTCAGTCACAACTAGTTACTGCATACTTATGCGGTGTTTGCTAAATAGTGCCATGGCGAGCTGTATGTTTAAATAGACACTATCATTAACTCCCAAAACTAAAATCACTTTTTATTATTTTCCAGCCACCATAGTCGTGTTAGCCCACGCGCAAGTCGACACGATACAATCTTACGGCGAAAGCCTGCACGCCGCCGAAGGCTTAACAACGAAAGAGAACCAACTGGTCCAGACAGAACAGATCCACGAAGCTATCTTCATGACGCTGCAGTTAATCAACGGGTTGAAATGCCTGCAAGCGCGTGGGGTCGAAGAAATTCCTGAATCGTTGACATCTTTCATTGCTTTGAAAGAAGTTCAGCCTCTGGCGTCTCATGGAAGCACTCTGAACCTACCATCATCGCCGGACGACAGGTTGAACTCGCTGTGGGCGCCGAAGACGAACTCTTATGGCCGGTTATGTATTTTACAAGGGTGAGTTTTTAGTTGGATATGATGAGAAAATTAACTGACATCAAGTGTAGGACCCTCCACTGACTCCATTAAAATATAGCTGCATAATTAAGCGCAACAGCTTCAAACCTTCAAGAAAATAGCGTGCTCCTACCTCCTACAAAGGCAGGCAAGGTAGTCACTTTCTACCAGGTCTACCCTGTCAGCTCGTTCACCCCCCATATCATGAAAAAGAAAAAACTTCTTTAGTTTGATTATTATGTTCATTTTAAAACTTAAATTGCGAGATCCAACATCAACTTAGAACGCAATATTTTTCAGTTTGTCTTCTCTAGATGGCACATGGTGTATTTGTATTTATTACATGCGTATGCGATAGTCGCTACATTAATAAATGTACGCTGGTTACAAAAAAAATACTGTAATAATAGTCATTTAATTTGCAAAAGCCCTTATCATAGACTGTTTTGTAAACTAATACTTTCTTTTCTTTTTTTAAAAAAAAGACTACTCCCGCATTTGGAATATATTCTATGTTGCGGGGGACTTTACTAACATACATGAAACGGACACAAACAACACCCAGACCATTTATAAATATCTAAATGTATTTTGTTCTCCATTCCAGATTAAGTGACGAATGCAACAACAAATCCACCGACGAAGGTCGCCTCAATTCTCTTTGTAAATGCGCAATCAAAGCCACAGAGATCCTCCTTCCCGGTGAAAAACTTACACCTCTACTAAAAGAAATACTGTACGAAGAACGCGCAGTATCCCTAAACCTAGCAAAATCCGTCCTGGAATTCATGCTCTGGGGACCGCTGGACGTGGTCCAAGGGGTGCCAGTTGAAGAAAGAGAGCTATCTTTACAAAGGTGGCTGGACCTCGAGAGAGCAACAGTTCTGCACGGCCTTGTAAGAACCAGAGTCCAATTGAACGTGTTCGAACAACTACATCTAATGTTCTTAGTCCGATCAACGGCTAAAGCCATGTGTGATGCGTCGGTGTTACTCGAAAAAGCCAATGTATATTGATTTGTACATTTTTTTTAAGCTTTATCTAGTGTCGTGTGCGTAACTTTGATCAACTTGATGGTGACGTAAATGATCCATTCCCGATCCAACAGTTTATGTAAGTAATCAAATTAATGTTACAAAAGGAGTATACGTGAGGGACATTTATTTAAATTTAATGTAAACTTAGCTTAGTTAGGCACCTAAAGACTTGATACTATTGTAACTTGAATGTGTTTGTTATATTTACAATTATTGCATTTTGGAATGGTATTTAATTGATGAATTGTTAATTTGGAATGAATGCATGTTATTATATAACTCTATGTTATTTAATAAATAAATAGGGACCAAGATAAATGACGCTCAAAATCTATTCAGGAATCATTTTATCGATAATGATGGAAGTGATTTAACTTTTAAGGGACCTATATGATCGATGATACTTCGATTCCTATCTGTCTATGGTCTATAATTATCCTGTTTTTTGATAAATCAAAGTCACTAGGTGCCAATAAGTAGAACTGATGGTATATACTCAATGTACTAACGATCCGGTGCCTTAAATTGTATTATACGTAAGTAAAATGTATTATATCAAATGTAATTTATATTTTAAACGAACTCTGTTAGGTATTGAGTTCAAATTATTAATTTACTCTTGTAAGAATCCATCGAATATGAAAATAAAACATATTTCTTAATATATATGGTTGTTTTACTAACACTCATACGCAAAAATGAATTGCGCCCTTATTTATAAATAACAATTTAACTTCACCAAAAGTTAAAATTCATAATCTGAACAGAATTTTTTGTTCAGAGAGAGAGAGAGAAGTTTCTACTTCTCTCTCTCTCTCTGAACCAAAAATTCTCAATTCGGTTAATTATTTTATTTTACCTCAGAAACTATAGCAGTTTCTGAAAAAATGCGGAATATGCTTTTTTATTAGGAAGGTTATACTTTCCGTTTTGTCCCAATCTTAGACTCAGAAATACCTACTTATGGAAAATTAAAAATAAAGCATCACAATGTGTGCTCATTAAAGTTCGTGATACTGTTTTAAAAGTTAATTATCCACCTTAATTATTATGATCTTGGGGATACATTCGCTCTGAAGCAGTAATATCCGAGTGGTATAGTTAAGTGTACCAACCACTTGACATACTGAGTGTACTTTCCTTCAGGATAGTTCCATTAAAACTAGTACCATAACTAAAACTATCTTATACTGAAATGATGGCTTTACTAATACAGTATAGGAACAGGTCTGACATCGATAAATGCTCCCAACATTCCAACCTTACACAAATAATTCAAAATTACTGGAAAAAACAAGCAAGGCTTACAATAGTCGTATATGATGTGTAAATATCACCGACATCTCACCTACAATCTGAACGCCAATATTACAACAAACCGTGCGAAACCAGGGGGGATCGCTAGTTTTTATATTGTGTATGTACATACTTACTGACACGTTATAAAATGAAACAAAATAGTAATTTCTAATACTTTATTGTCAACATTGCAACATATTTGATATTAAGTACACAATAATTTGTGTCACAATAATATTTTGCTACCGCAATCTAGAGAGTTATTAAAATCAGATCTCTATCAGATTCACATGCAAAATATTCGAGCAACTGACATAATATACACTGTAATTGAAACTTAAATATCTAAATAGGACAATACACCTTTTCTTAGTTATCATAAAACATAATATGTTATAGTTTATATTAAGAAACGTTATCAATTTATTCCAGTTCCGACATTATTCAAAAGACTGCAATAAATTATTCGAATAAAAATACATACAAAAACACATACATACATAATATCTCTATGCTAAATTGCACGTAATATGTAAATTTCTTAAACAGCACTAAAGTTTTCAAACAACTAATTTTTTTGACAAATCTAATTCTAAAATTGGAAACAACTAATAATAACTATTCTATTAGTTAACATTCTAATCTCGCATAATCATAGGAAAATCTGGTATTAAAAAACAACGCATTGACGGCTTCTTCACCATGTTAAACAGAAAGTTACAATAATCTATCATGTGCAAGATGTTACATTTAAAAGTGTGTCGTCTAGACATGACTGTGGCGTCTTGTATGTGTAGTGTTCACTGGGGGTCAAAAGGATTAAGGCTAGTAGGTAACGCGAGTAGAAAATTTATTAAAAAAGCCAAATAATCAAGTTGAAAGTGCGTTCATATCGATATTATGTAACAATGACGTTCAAAAGGTTAACTTCCTTCCTTAGGTATACATGAAACAATGATAAAATGGAACAGCTGTATTTACACACTAAAAACCACAATATGTTATAATTCATATCAAGTTATTTTCATAAATTATTTAATATCGCAGCTAAACTTAAACAACGAGAGGATAAAATATTTAAAATGTTTGTATAATTTCTCAAACTCAAAACTATATGAAAACATTAAAAAAAATATTCAAAACCGAACTTTTTACAAGAACTGTGCCAAAAAGATCTAAGACTAAAAAATGAAATACAAAAATAGGAAAAATTGCCTTAACATATATCTCCAAAATTAGTCATATAAAAGCAAGCCATACGGAATGTATTTGGCAACGATGCAAAATATAATAAATATTAATACGTAAAGAAAACCTGCCTTCTTCGTACCTACGTACCTTCGTATCATCAGGAACGGTGAACTGTAAGTATTCTAAATTTTCATGTAAACAGAAAAAAAGTAAGCCAAGCGTTTAACACTTTTTCTTAAATTCGAACGCTTTGCGATCTCTAGTTAAGACCGTAATTTTATAAAACACACAAAATGTATATCAAAATAGATGTACTTAATTACAGATGAAATGGTTAGGTCTTCGGCCCAAGCGCGAATATTCGGCCAACCATGCACCGGATGGCCGAATATCTGATCTCTGAATACCCAATCCAACTTGAGCTTAGTTTTATTAATGATGACTCTCCTAATTCTCCTGATATTCGTTTTATTTTCAGAAATATTAATGTATTTCTTAAATTTGGTCTTTACCTTATTCAGTTTCAAGAAAACATACGTAAATCCACCCCTATCTTCATTCCGGATACACACAGAGACCTTTCGTACCTCAACAATTTCATTTACCGTCATTAAACTTTTTATTGACCCAGGTTTAGGTAAAAGTTGTCCATTCCTCAGATTATCTCCAATTTAATAAAAGTATATTCTACCATGTCGATCCGTCCGCCTTTTCATCAGATAATATATAAACATAATAATAAGCTCAATAATATATTTTTACAAGCTTTAATTATTATTTAACCAGCAATGAATGTAAGTTTGGGATCCATCTTCCAAGCTGAACTAAAATCACTCTTATTCTATAGACTTTTGTTGTTGCTTTTATAATGTTTGTTGTTATGGGAAGCATGCCCAAAATTCTGTAGCGCACAACATCAGCTCCAGATGAGGGAACTCCTCAGTGGTGAACGGTATAGACACGAAAGAGTACCAAGTTTGTTTTTTACAATCCATTGATCGATTTGATCATATTACAAGAATATTTTGCCACTAGTATTGATATTTTGAACGCAATTAATCCGTGAGAAATGCACCGTAACCTCCTCAGAATCAGATGCTCAATCTACTAAACCCTCAAGTAAAACCCTCGAGTTCTCTTCTATGTACTTGGTGATATTCTTTCACAATTTTTTTCGACAATAAACTTATAATCACGTATCATCACATCACCGAAACATATTCAGAAATTACACACAAACATACGACACAGAAGAGACGTTTTCACTTAGTAACAAAAAGATCACGGTTAGACTATGAAAGCACATTCACAGAAATAAACTAGTAGTTTACATTTCATGTCATTTATTATTTATTGACTTTGATCATTATTTGTCGACCAAAACAAATGAATACGATACTACACATACGTATAGTGAGATTGCAATGTAAAATCATACATATGTGTAGAAAAGAGGGTGCAAAATTGATTGAACTCATTGTCACTATTTCGATCACGAGTTTTTGCCGAAGGACAAGTTTTGTAGTAATTTCCAATATTGCAATATTAAGTAGTCAATAGCTGACCCTTGTAACACTCGGTTTTATTAAAACCGAATCTTAAAAGATTCAAATGTAGGTATCTATATATTTCGAAGCAGATCCTAAGAAAATCAATAAATAAATAAAAAACTTCAGATTACACGCCTAACAATCCATCAATCCTCACAATCCATTAATATTTATGAAACAATTTACTATAAAAAAAAAAAACAATTTTATAAATAGTTTAACGAACTATTATCTATACTGCCAAAGTATTCTATTATTCTTGCCATTTTCACTTACAACATATTTCATTTTATATTATTATACTTAAAACAACCACTAGTTTACAAACCCTTATTGAAATATACATATTGGGGTGGTTTCCCGCCTGTATTCTTTACAATTTCCTCGTAATTTTCTTTCTCGAAACGCTTGATTGTGTCCGTAGATATTTTGCTAAAAATAAAACAATAATATTTTACCACATTTATATAGCGCCATCTAGTGGGACTAGCACAGCCTGTACTATGGGTACTAAACAACTGATAAAAATACATACATATAAACTTTTTTTCTAAATACATACATATTATACATAGAAACATCAAGATCACATCAAACACCAAAGTTCATGAACACAAATGTTTGCCTCGAACGGGAATCTAACCCGCGACCGTCGAGTCTGTTACACAAACTACTATGACAAAATCTATATATCACATCACACATCACATCAACAGCCTATAATAGTCCACTGCTGGACATAAGCCTCTCCTTAGAAAGGAGGCTTCGGCCTACTATACCACGCTGGCCAGACGGGTTGGTATAGGGTTTGTGTCAAGTTTTCCTTCTCTTTGCAGTGCTGTTGTCCTGCGTAGTTTTTTCCCTTAGTCGGCTCTTACGACACCCACGGGATGAATAGGGGTGGTGACACTCTGTATTCTTAATCCGTCACCACACGGATAATAACTTACGGATTTTCTATTTACAAAAATCATAACTTGGATAATTAGTTTGTGTACAAAAATTCAAAAAGTTCAGCACCGATTGATTTTGACACGATGTAAAACACGCTTCAAATATGGTTTTTATGTTTTTTTTTCAACCACAATGTGTTACAGCGAAGCGTGGCAAAGTACAGATAGAATATAGAATTTACAAATATATATTAATATTATATAACCATGTAGGCAAATAAGATAATTTTGTATTTGGTATACTATTGACACATTTTACAATGGCCATCTAATGCCAAACGGGTAGAGCCAAACTGCTTATAAACATACCTACACATACATGTTATAAATAAATCACATCCAGATACAGAACCAATGATCGTACTCATCACCCAACTATTTATCGTGGATGGGAATCGAACCCAAGACCTCTGGAGTAACAGTCAGGATCACTAAATACAAGACCAAAAGACCGGTGATTAAGGAAGACTAGAACGAGAAATCTACACGGGTAATATATTCCCTACATCTGAAAACCCGCCGGCCGCTATCTATGGTCATTAAACTGACTTCATCGCAGTCGTTTACCCTAAATATGTTTGAGGATAAAACTCACCATTTTTGTGGGAAAAGCGCACAGGCTGTTGGCACCATAAAGGTAAGACTGAAAGGAAGAAAATAATATGTTATTAGTGAAATAAATGGTAATAAAAACTAATATCCCAAATCAGGAAAGTTACGAAAATAGAACACAACACGTGGGAGAGTCATGCTCCTGCACGTATGCCTGGGCCTGGAGAGGCCGGAGTGATACCAAGCCTCACAGAAAACGGTTTTAAGCAGTTTCAATGCAGTGAGTTTCATTAATCATCATTAACAGCCTTTATCTCTTTGTACTGCTGTTGTTCTGCATTAGTCGGCTGAGTTTGCTCCATTAGTCGGTTCTTACGACACCTACTGGATGAATAGGAGTGGTGACACTCCGTATTCTTAATCACCACACGGATCGGTGATGTTACCGGAGCCCAAACCGCTCCTTTCTCTGATTGAGGGCCCCTCCCTCGGGCGGGGTTGCATTATTTATTTTACTTACCATGCACCAACAACAGCAGTCTGTATTCCTACGTGAGCCCATTTGATCCTCTTCATCCAGGCTTTTGGCTCCAGACGCTCCATGATGAACGGCAGTATCAACATGCCCGGAGCACACATTATAATCCTGGAGAAACAAAAATGCATTAAAATACATTTCCCCTCATATTCATTTTGATCCAGCTCAGCTCAGCTCAGCTTGTGTTTTCTTCTTCTACTCTACGTAATATGTTTGAGATTTATCGAGAGCACGATTAATGACATTTGACAGCTATGACGTTTGTTGTGCGATAATATAATCTAAAAACATTGACACTCGATCACCCGGTGGTCGGGTGTCTCTAATGAACTATGACCTTGTTCCTTAGTTTTATCTCACTACTGTGCCCAATAATAATTGTCAAGAGACCTTCACCTTCAAATAACTCACTTTACATACATATCTGTCTTACCTAGAAGTTACGACTTGAGAAATGCCTTTGACAGGAGCGAGTCGGGATTTGCCGACGATGTTACCATTTTCATCGCACACATCCAAACCTGAAAGATAACAATCACATCACATCATCATCACATTAACAGGAATCTCCTTAGAAAGGAGGTTTTGGCCTACTACACCACGCTGGCCAGTCGGGTTGGTATAGCGTTTGAGTCAAGTTTTCCTTCTCTTTGCAGTGCTGTTGCCCTGCGTAGCTTGCTCCTTTAGTCGGCTCTTACGATACCCACGGGATGAATAAGGGTGGTGCCATTCAGTATACTTAATACATCACCACACGGACAGGATTTTTGTTATTGAAAGATAACAATAATAAAAATAATAATAAAATGACACATCCCGCAGAAAGCCGTCCGATCCCAAATTAAACTGAGCTTGTATAATGGTAACCAAATTGTCGATAAACATATTAATATATTTCTATATACATACGTATATAGATAAATAACACCCAGACATAGAACATATAATCTTAATACAAATATTTGCTTTGGATGGGAATCAACCCCACGACTCCTGCTATATAATCAGGATCACCAATCACCGGACCAACAGGCTAGTCAAACATAAACAATTATTTTCTTTATTACACTGCTCGCTCCAAAATGATAATAACATTACGAGGAGGCAATATTGTCAAACTGTCAAACAGTTAAACATATGACGGGCCTGTTGGTCTAGTGGTTCGATTCCCACCCAGGACAAATATTGTGTGATGAGCACGGTCATTTGTTCTGTGTCTGGGTGTAATTTATCTATAATATGCATGTATTTTAAAATATATAAGTATGTTCATCAGCACTCTGGTTACCATAGCACAAGCTCTGCCTAGGAATTAGACGGTCGTTTGTGAGATGTGTGAGGTTATTATTATATACAGGTATTAAACATAGAAGTATGGAGATAAATACCAAGATATACATACATGCAAACGACTAATTGAACAGAAGGAACCGAATCTGCGGCCCTTGACATTGCAAAAGGTAAATTGAAATATACAGGGTGAAAGGGGGCGTCGTGACGAGTACTGTATTCTTCAGTATTCGTTACGACGTCCCTTACACCCTGTATATTGAAAAAAATTAGGCACATTTACAAGGATATTATTCAATGACTTAACTCATATTTTACATTGTATTTTAATAGTTCTTTTTGTTCCAATACTAAGTTTCTGGTTTAAAAACCTTTTTAGGACAAGAATTTATACATTTATGTATGTGTATAAAATATATTTATTTATTTCTTTTATTATAAAGAAATTGTTTTTTTATTGTTCACTCATTTTTTATTTTTTTATTATCCTCTAAACAACCAAGTTTCGAAACCAGTTTCGGAATAGAATAATATTCTTCTTTTGGAATATTCTTTTATCGAAACCAGATTCTCAATTAATAATAGATTTTAGTGAAAACTAACAAGAACTTTATAGTCTTAATAACAATAAATTTCTAAATTTAAAAATAAATTATTTGCTTTTAGAACATTTGGACAACAATCTTTTCCACTAGAATGTTAAGTTTTTTCTTGGGATAACACATAACCTACTCTATGCGAGTTGAACTCGTACTTAGCCAACATTTTATAACCAAACATTATACGCAAATGATTTGAAAATAGCGACATGTGACGTCACCAACCGCTATTTCATTAAAAAATCTACAGAGCGTTTCGTTTTGACATTAAATAAAGGGGGAACAGATTTGACTATCTACCATCGTATTAAAGTACTCGTAACAATCCAGTTACGAGTGTACACACAGATAATTGGCACATGCGCCCCTCCATATCAGGTGCTTACCTATAAAATTGCAGATTTTTTATCAAAAAATGAGATGCTGTATCGTATTGTCAGTTGTGATAAAAATATGATCCTGTAAACACAAAGCACATTGAGCCAAACGAAGCGGCTTGAAAAGAAGAAGAGTATATGAATAGCCAGATTTCTTCACAACATCTTCTTGACCTCCAACAGAATTACATCAGAGGTGTACTAAGGAGAAGCTCACTCTCGAAGTAAGATAATTTTTTCCATGACTTTTTGAAGAAAAGAAAATCCAGGTACCGATAATGACATGCTTCAGCATTTTCACAGCGGCAGGCATCTGTATTTTTTTATTTTTTATATTCTCTAAGGTAGTATACATACCTAAAGTTAGTTCGTTCTGCCTCATCAGTGGAATGTTTACCCAGTTGGCGGCGGCCACAGCGACGAATGGCACAAACCTCTGGACAAAACAAAACAAAACTTGAATAATACGGAACACACCAGAGTCGACAATAATAATAACCTCACACATCACACACGGCGGTCTGATTCCAGACTAGGCAGAGCCTGTACTATGGTAACCAGACAGCTGATAAACATACTTATATATTTCTAAATACATACATATTATATATTAATTACCCAAGTTTAAAAAAAATGATCATGCACACAATTATTTGTCCTTTTTTTTTTTTTTTTTTTTTCCGTGCGGAAATCCCCTCGGATACCACCTGTCGGTGGCATGTCCGACTCGAACCGACTAAAACCGCACGCCGTCGCCGGGTACTAATAGCCGGGGAACCAGACTACTAATGTCCTGGAATCAACCTCACGGCCTGGGTGTGAAAATGGGGTTGGAAGTTTGTATGGGGAATCAATAACCGCTGAACCGATTTAGATGAAATTTGGTATGAAGATACTCTGATTCTTGAGGAAAGACATTTTTACCGCGATAACCGAAATTTACGCAGGCGGTGCCGCGGGCAAAAGTCAGTAGGTTATAAGTTTATTTAGTGCATCTAATGTCTTTGTATCAGTGTATACAATTGTTAGTTCGCTAAATAAAAAAAAATACTTGACAAAACATAGGAAAAAGTTGGCAAATATATATAAACAAAGGCAATATTGACAAAATATATGTAAATCAGGGAAAGGCGGGATCTGGGCTCCGGTAATCTCACTCACAGTGGCCACTGCCGGCTCTTAACCCGAACAGATGATAATACTTTATAACCAATCTTTCCACTTAAACCCCTCGCGTGGACCAACTAGGGGGTCCTTGGACACTGACTCACTCAACATGGACGTTAATACATATATTTAAAATTCATTCAATGACTGAAGAAGAACATTGAGCCAAGAAATTTCTTTATAAACCGAGCTTATCAATGATTAACCTTTATAAACAAACAGATATTACTCATTAACGTTCGTGATCATAATGATAATGCAGTTAAATGCGATTAAGAGCCTTACAGAGAGCCAATGTCTCATTACGAAATATATAGTTGTGTCGTGATTAGCGCGGTCTCTTTAAATTTTAATGTTTTTCTTTTTTATATTTTTGTTTTAAAATCGTTACGCAACGGTGACTAAGTATACAATTTAAACTGTAGAAACTTACTGTAAAATCAAAGCAGTCAGAAAATACGTGACGTCTGATGGCCCTGGGATCTTGCTCTAATTATCTTAAAATTATTTTAAAATTAATTTTAAAATTAGCCTTTGCTTAGAACTAACCGTAATTATAAAGTAGGCTTGGACTTGTCTCTAACATAAAAGCCATTAAAAAAAAAACTTACAGCTAGGATAGGGTTCTTGGCGCGCTTTTGTACACCATACTTGAACACGAGGGCTGCTCCCATAGCGGCAGATGTGGCTGACACGTAGGCTACCCCCATTTGCGTGGTGGTGAGGGGCGAATTTGCATTCCGGTTGGTATAGTTTACCAGTGCATTGAACGACTGGTTTACCCATTGCCAGAAAACTACAGCAACGGGTGTTCTAAGACAAAAAGAAATACGTTGAAAGATTTAATTAATTTATAATTAATTTAATATATATATATATATATATATATATATATATATATATATATATGAAGAAGAAATTAACAGAAATAATAAAATCTATCTATACTCATGCGGAGGGATGAGGAAAATGTGGCGAAGAAAGTTTTAGGTATGGGAGTTGAAGGGTACAAGAGATGAGGCAGACCGAAGAAAAGGTGGATGGACTGCGTGAGGGAGAATATGGCTAGGAAGGGAGTAACCAGTGAGATGACGCATGACAGAGTAGAATGGAAAAATCATACATACTGCGCCGACCCCAAATAAAATTGGGAAAAGGGTAGGCAGATGATGATGATGAATAAAATCTATACTAATATGGATGGAGTTTGATTGTTTGGTTAAACGCACTAATATCAGGAACTACTGGCACCAATTGGAACATTATTTTATATGGTGTTGGATAAGGCTATATCACGCTACGACCAATAGGAGTGGCGCGGAACTAAAATTATTACTGCTACTTATATTATTTTTCTTCGTGTGTTGATTCTAACACAGCCGTGTAAGTTTATTGATATCCAAGTTAATTTTAGAGTGAACTGCTTTTGAGAACCTCGCTTGTTTTGTTCCGTACATTCCGAGTATAGTAAAGCTGCGTGATAATATGTTGACAATATTTGAACACAAACACTAGTTCAGAGAAAGCGGGTAGAACAACATTAGTGACGTCACATTACAAGTGATTTAGTAAGGCACTTAGTAGACTTTCACGATTTGTTACTTACTTGAAATTATCTATATAAATATTATAAAGCCTAAGTTTGGTTATTTGAACGCACTGGTCTCAGTAACTACTGTTTCGAATTGAGATTATTTTAGTTTGGATAGCCCAATATCACGCTGACGGATTAAGAATACAGAGTGTCACCACCCCTATTCATCCCGTGGGTGTCGTAAGAGCCGGCTAAGGGAAAAAACTACGCAGGACAACAGCACTGCAGAGAGAAGGAAAACTTGACACAAACCCTATACCATACTAAATACTTTTTAAGTTGTAGTTATAGACCATGGCTGTCCAGTCAATGGCACAATACGGTGCAACGGTGTTGGCGGAAGCTCTTATCGCCCAGAATGAGGAGCACCCTCAGATGTTAGTGGTGGATCTCCCATGGAATTTAGAGGTGGAAATGAGTGACTAAAGGCGATTGACGAGCCACGATGACGAGACACGATGGTCGTCCCGGCTGGAGGCTTTGGCGCCGTGGACGCGCTCCAGCCAGCCATGGTCTAGTCAGCAGGGTTGTAGCACGGGACCCTTTCCTTCTGCTTGACGCAGGTCTTTTCTTGACACATCTGCTTAGGGAGGCAGCAGATCGCTAGGAGTGACTTGAGTTGAACCTGTCAGCACTGCAGTGCAGTTTGAACTCAGCTCAGCACCCGGCGGCTGGGAAAACTTAGGTAATCAAGCGCCCGACACGCCATTATAGCGGCGGTAGGACTCGTTATTGAGGATTGGCTCTAGAGGAAAAACGGGACCTTCTCATACCGGTTGACGCAGGTGTTCACCTGTACGGAGGGATAGCGCGTGGAACTGAGCCACTTCCGTCTGCGAGCAAGTTATGCTTAAGAGGGAGAGGCCGGACCGGGACCTGAAGAGGTTTAGAACTCTCCCGGACCGCAAAGCCCGAGAACGGGCCAGGTACTCAGGTGGCTCATCCTGCATAAGAGCAGGCCTGAAAGAAAGAAATGCCCGGCCGTCTTAATAAAAGCTGTAAGCGGATCTCTCCTATTTCAGGCGCAGTGTGTGGTTTTAGTCGGTTCGATTACGATACACCGCCTCACCGCAAACCCCGGTGGGATGACAGCCCATGGGGGTTTCCACACATAAAAATAAATGTTCTAGTAAAGAAATGACAACTAAAATTTGGAGTTATCGCTATCACACATTTAGTATCACACAATTAGCAGCTATTAGTAATTTAGTCTACTAGAGAGGCACGAAAGGCACCGAATTTGTATTTCTGAGAAGCGGACCGTTCTCGTAGGGATTCAAATTTGCTAGAATGATCTTTTACGAGTATGATAAATACGGACTCATTTTTGAGTTCAGTTCAGTTCGAGCTCGTTTAAACATCGAAGCGATTGAAGTCAATAGAAGTGTGACCCAGCGACCTCGGCGATCATTCTGGACTATTCTTGAGTATTGTGTGAACGTTTTTAAGTGTAGTGATTATAAAGTCTCTTTAGTCGTCAGAAGGCTTATTTCATATCAACGAACCCTAATACGTAACAGTATTAGCGAAACAACAGCCCTATTATTTAATCACTATTATTTTCAGAATCTTGCACTGTTTAGACTCAAACTTAACAATATTTAATCCTTAATCATTAATTGATCCTTACTGTCTCTGCCACGAAATAGACCGCACTAGTACGAAAGTCCCATTCCACAAATTGTTTAAATGAATAACACGACTACTGTTCCGACACAATAAAGTGCAATTCAGGTCGCAAAGCTCTAATAACCTACAATTATGCTTCTCTTTCTATTGCTACTAACTAAACTCTACTTTTTTTTTTATTTTATTTTTTTTTTATTTTTTTTAAAAAGACAACTCCCGCATTAGGAATAAATCCTGTGTCGCGGGGGACTTCACAAACATACATGAAACGGACACAAAGAACACCCAGACTCAGAACAACAATTTGTGGATCACACAAAGTGTCGTCCCATGTGGGGTTTGAACCCACAACACTCGGCGTAGTAGGAAGCGGCGTGGTGACCGCTTAAACCACTACGCCATCCGTGCAGTCTGACTGACGTCGTTAAGGTTAATTTTCTTAACTTTTGGATATATCCAATATATTAGAAATGTGAAGACGTGAGTTCCGAATCCTTGTTATTGTTTAAGATGATGATTATCTAAGAAAATCTAATCAAGGACTAAACAAAACGCTCTTCTACATTATATAAATTTGAAAAAAAGTGTTGGGTGCCTGTTGTCAATAGCAAAAAGCACCCCACGCTTTTTTCAAATTTATTTTATATTTTTTAGCTTGGTTTTCTATAGAAAGCGTGTTTTTTAGTATTTAAACCTATTTTTTTTTTTTTTGAATTAGTGTATTGTCATCGCTCCTCGATATATCTACAAAGTTTGAACGAATTCTGACCGTTTAAAGTCAGTTAAAATCACGCCCAAAGGAGTCGGTTACAAACATACAAACAAACATACAAGTGAAGCTAATATAAAGCGTGTAAAAAAGATTTATGTCAAGGGCCACCTTATTGTATAGACTTGTACAAATAGAAACTAGAACTAATAATAGACTGTACTAATAATAAACCACATAGTGTCGGGTTTATTGCTCTTACTACATTATGTCTTAAGCCAAGGTTGCGATTATACATCTTAAAATGTTGTAAACAGATGTGAGGTAGGTAGATACCTATCAAAATTATTAGAAAATACAATTAACGATATAAGCTTTATTATTATGATGATGCGTTTTTCTTACTAGAACTTTAGTATATTTTTTTGTTTTAGGGTCAAAAGAAGGTCACCTGATGTGAAGTGACTGCCACCAGCCATGGACGCCTGCAACTCAAAGAGACACAAGTGCGTGGCCTAAATCGAAACTGTCATCATCCTCATCAACAGCCCATAATAGTCCACTGCTGGACATAGGCCTCTTCTTAGACAGGAGGTGTTGGCCACGCTAGACGGGTTGGTATAGGGTTTATGACAAGTTTTCCTTCTTTTTGCAGTGATGTTGTTATCTTGCGTAGTTTGCGCCCTTAGTCGGCTCTTACGACACCTATGGGATAAATAAGGGTGGTGACACTCCGTATTCTGAATCCGTCACCACACGGTCAATCGAAATCGAATCTGTATCCAAAATATTCAAATACGTAAATAAACCTATTTTAGTAATTGCCGTAAATGCTTACAATTTCTAAACAACGCATTCCTTGGCAACACTTTAAGACTGTAACGTCAGAGTCACGCCCTTCATGCGCGTGATTGTCATTTCGTTCAGCACATTGTTCTATGTGAGATGAAAATGCTAGTATGAAAACATAGTACCTGGATGACCGAGCTTAGCTCGGTATTTTTTATGGCAAAATTTCAGATTCAGATTATATATATATATATATAAGAATTGCTCGTTTAAAGGTATTAGATGTAGTATATTGAACTCGTGTTACGATGGATACGCTTAAATGACAAGGTAAGCGTTTTTGACAGAAAAAGAAATCTCAAGGTCATACTATTTCTGCGAGAATAATTGGCTAATGAGCTTCTCAAAGATCCTGTCTGTCTCTTGCAAATGCAAGCGTGAAATGCATGGCAGTTGGATAATCCGTTTAACAGACATACCTACGTTTATGGTTACGGGAATTAACACGCTCACGATAGGTATTAAGTACTACCTTTGAATTTCCTAAAGTTATGTACTGACTGACTTTATGGTACAGTCGAGTTCTTTAATATCTGATCATGTTCATGAATCAAAAATATATATGGCGATGGTATGTTTCAAAAAATTCTAACCACCTTACAATACATTGTAAACACTCCGTGACATATTAAATAACTAATAAACTAACGTCATAACTACACCTTAATTTCACTAATATTGCTACAGACAAACACTCGAAATATTGTGCGCGATCCCTTGTTCATTTTTTTCAGTGAAAAGTAAGGTTCATAAATATCTGCAAATTTTCTGATATATATTTTGATGACTCGATTTTTTTCTTAAATTCTTTGATGCATTGTAACAATCACCTTACAAAAGTAAATCCTATTGTAATTATGGCGATTAAGTCAAGATATTTTTTTAAATTTATTTTGATGTTGACGGCTATCGTGTAAGTGGACATCTTCAAAATGTATTTCTTCCAACCGGTAAAATTGTTTATCCCGATGGTCATAGAATCGAATTTGTACAGGACGGAAGTTGCGTCCACATTTCAAGAAGGGGTGGATAGCTCAACAAGAAAATTTACCTACATTTAATTAAACTCTCGCCAAGAAGTCCTGACCTACAATTAAACTGTTTTTTTTTATTGGGTTTTATGGTTAGAAATTGGGACTCCACGTGAGTAAGTTCAGTAACCAATTTAAGGGCCCACGTACATGAGATTTGGGAAGGTTTTAGAAATAGCCGTAGGAATAAGTGTGCACTATTGCTATGACCTTACCTGGAAGTTCTTACCTACCTTATTTAAATGTTAAGAATACCCAATAAATTATAAAATAAATATTCGCTTAAGTAACTGTTATTTTAATTTAAAAAACAGACTGAATAAAAGTTTTGTACAAATACATATAGTCTGCGTTGATCCTAAGATTTCCTATACGTTGACACTTTTTTTTTTTTTTTTTTTTTTTTCCGTGCGGAAATCCCCTCGGATACCACCTGTCGGTGGCATGTCGGACTCGAACCGACTAAAACCGCACGCCTTCGCCGGGTACTAATAGCCGGGGAACCAGGTATACCCTAGAAAGGAAGGCCCTGGTGCCCCGACATACCTCGGGTCATCTACAGACGAGTAGACGACCCCCGCCCCGTGTGGGAACCCCATGTTCCCTGTGCTCCCTGGAAGCGAGCGCGCTTCGCAACGCGCTCGCCGCCACCCCGGCCTGCTTCTGCTAGGGTGACAGATGGCCTCACCTGTCACCCCCAGGCCTGCGCTTATGGAGGACGGAGGTCGTTCTGCGACCTCCGGCGCCTGAGTCGCCTGCGCTGCCTGGCCCGTGCCCGGGCCTGGCGGGCCGGGAGAGTTCTAAACCTCTCCCGGTCCCGCTCCGCCGTCTCCTTCGCGAGCATAACTTGCTCGCAGAAGGAGACGGCAGAGTTCCACGCACTCTCGCTCCGCACGATAGCCGCAATCAGGCTATCGAGCGAGAGAACTCCCACTCCGATGGCCGCCACGAGGTCTCGCCTCTGCTCAACCCACGCCGGGCACTCTGCCAGCGTGTGGAGAGCCGTGTCCACGGTCTGGCCATCGCAGTGGTGGCACTCAGGCGTTGGCTCCTAAGATTTCCTAAAACCTTATTAATCAAATAAATAATACAGATGCCAAGCAACGTTGTCATAGTGATACAGTCCTATTACGGATGGCAACGTCGCATTATTACTTCCACACCGACAAGCAGAAACAAATCTAATAGTAAAGGCCATAGAGCTGAATATTAACAGATGTATAGATATTTATGAATCCTAGGTTGTACTAAATATATTGAAATCTAGAGCATTTTAGTGCAGAAGAGTATATTATTGACTGTTACCGTAACATAATTTATAAACAATTTATATGATAACATTTTATTGATGTATAAGTATGTATTGAACGATATGATCATGTAACGCTTACAATATTACTAAAATATTATATTAATTTATATATTTAATTTATATATTATTGAACTCGACTGTACATAAGGTCAGTCAGTCACCTATGTACTTAATACCTATTCGTAAGTAAACATAATTATATATTATGGAACGTGATTGTTTAAAAATTAGTACAGTTTAAAACTAAGTTGCTTTCGATTTACATATTGCATCGATACCACATTCGGTACAAAAGACTATCGCTTAACACAAAGAACATATAAAAGATTAGCATTCGACAATGGGTTTTCTCGTATCACTTAAGGTTTGTCAATCAATGGAATCTGCCTCACGAATAATACTTTTTTCTCTTTTCTTGTTCTTTTTTGTATCGCTGACAAAGTTTATGAAACATTTCATTATGATAGCTTGCATATTTTGTGTAAATTTGCGAAAGCGAAATTTCATGAATATAATAACATTACTAGCTCTCTCGCTCTCGCTGATTCACCTTGCAATAATGTCAACTTTGCCGATCAATTTTTTTAAGATCCAAAGGAGCCCATAAGCTATTCGAGACTGTAATCTATCTCTGTGCTACGTTTAATCCGGATACATATCCGGATATATAAAAATCATTCATACATCCATCCGTTAGCGTTTATAATATTAATAGACAGTTACCTGTACCACTGCAACATAGCACCCGTAACTAGACACCCTCCAGGCATCTGAAAGGTCATTCTGCCGAAAACATTCTGAAGCTCACCACTGTCGGGGTGGAAAGCTGATTCGTAGAGAGTCTTGGCACGAACTACATCTTCGAATTTTGTATCCGACGGTTCTTTGCCGGCTCTACAAAATAAAGAAAGAATAGCATTTAACTCCTTTTAAAATCAAATTCCGGCAGACAAATTTAGTGCTTTCTGCATCATGTACTTTATGAATGAAATAAAGTATTTTGATTATCTCCCATTTCTTATAGCCGACGCACAACCGATACAGAATTTCTCTTGTATCTCTGTATCTTTTCACATTACATAAAGACAAACAAGCAGAGCAGCAGCTGATAGCAAGTGACTACGGCCGGACCTTTGAACTTAAGAATCACTAATCCGTTGCCGGCCAGATAGAAGTTATCTTGTCTTGAAGGTTTGAAGTCCAGAAATACCGTATTGAAAAAGAGAAGACTACGTGTTTTTACTTCGGATTTAATTCAAGGGTTAACCAAGTTTAATACAAAGGTTAAAAATGTAACTTGCTTAACATAAAACAGAAGTAAATTCAGCCACAGGCACTCACTTGTATTGCAAATATAGTTCTTTTGCTGCCAGTAGTTCCTTCTCAGAAGTTAACGTCAGTAGGGGGTTAGTGATGGCGGCGAAATGCTTGAACCTTCCAATAAAGGTACTTTGGTCATATAGGGGTTGGGTTATGTCTACTCTCGCCATTCTGTGAACAAAATATGTTGTTATTTTTTTAATCATAAATCAAGTAACATAATTGTGGTCTTTTTCATATTAAGACATTAATGGAACCATGGATAATTTGACTGGTTTGTCTGTTTAGTCATCAGCCTAACTGCTAAACTAATTGTGTGATGAGCACGATTATTTGTTCTGTGCCTGGGTGTAATTTTTCTATAATATGTATACGAGTATATTTAAATTTATAAATTTAAATATTTCTATCAGCAGTTTGGTTACCATAGTATAGGATCTGCCAAGTTTGGGATCAGGCTACCGTGTGTGAGATGTATGAGGTTATTATTATTATCAATTCCCGAGTAGGTGCACCTTTGAATGCGACGTGCCTTGTGTCCAATTTAGCTATTAGAAATAAAAAAGGTTCATCATCAACAGCCTTTCATAGTCCACTGCTGAACATGTGCCTCTCAGAAAGGAGGTTTAGGCCTACTATACCACGCTGGCCAGACGGGTTGGTATAGGGTTTTCCTTGCTTAGTTTGCCATGAATGTATCAAACCATTAATGAATAAACAACAATACAAAATATGTAATCTCAAAATAAGCATAGCTTGTACTATGAGTTCCAAGTTATGGATAAACATACCTACTTTTAGTCAATACGTACATAATATACATAGCAAGCACATGACTTTTACGAACAAATATTTGCACATAAGGAGAAACTTCCCCACCCCTCTGACGTAGCAGTCGTGCCGTGTATGGTGGTTGACACACCTTATGGTGTCGAGTAAGCAAATAACTGCCAAATACTTTATAGGACCTTCTGCTTGATTGCAGGCTACCCATCAAAAGCGCTGCTCACAATTGAGTTTTGCTGCAATAGTCTCAAACTCAAATTGTTCTCTAGTGTTACTCCACAACATATCCGGTTTATTTTGTGTTTTTGAAATTCAATTTTAATTTATTTATTTGCGTTGCCTTGCTAATGGTATATAATGTTGTATTACAAGTTCGATATAAATCGAACAGGCCCATTTAGCCATAAAAATAACATGCAAATTTAACAAATTATTAAATAAGTTATGTACCTATATTATATTATTATTATTGTCATTCCTCATCAGGGCAACCATGCATCAATAATATTTGGCTCTTGTTCCATTTATTATCCTTACGATTCCTTATTTATAAGAAATACCTTAGTGGAATAAAAATTGTTTTGTATAAACCACCACAGTAGTTTCATTATAAACTTATTTAAGGGTACACCTTATTAATATTAATACAATATGCACATAGCGTAAGAGTTGTTTTGCAGCCGACTACTTCTTGGTATCATTTCCAGAACGAGCCTGTGTGGGTTCCTTACAGTAACATCTTTCTCCCGTTCAAATACCTGAGGGTGTTGCTTGATAAATGTCCCTACTTCTAATATACGGGTGACTTTAAATTTGCCGTCCATATTAACAAAGGAGAATCTTTAGTAAAATTTATGAGAAACCCGCATTTTAGTTTAGTATCACATGGTACAAAAATATTGAGTAATAAGCATCAAAGTTGTCTCAAGATTCCGCAATTTGTAGACACACTGCAATCGGCAGGCGCGCAAGTGTCATGCACCAGGGACTTCCTTTCTAGGGTATACCTGGTTCCCCTGCTATTAGTACCCGAGACGGCGTGCGGTTTTAGTCGGTTCGAGTCCGACGTGCCACCGATAGGTGGTATCCGAGGGGAAAAAAAAAATGACGCGAAGTGTCAATGACCTCTCCGTCGGTATCGCATACTTCGCTACATTTCAGTAATAAATAAAGTACCTAACATAACATCCAAATATTAAAACTTCACTTAATTAAATAGACCAGGGTCGATAATTTTTGAAACCAAAAAATAATAATAGTAGGATGAAACCCATTGCATAAGGAAAAGAATATTACAAAAATTAAAGGGAAAATAATTTACGGGCGATCTGAGATCGGGGAGTGGAGTTGGGAGTTTTAAGGGTAAAAAACGGTTTATCTCGATTTCCGGCAAAACTACAAATCCTATGGAAAAAAGTTTATTAGCAAAGTTTTAGGTAATAAAAAGCTCTACAACTTGTGTATTTGCACTTTTTTTACATAACCTCAAAATTTATGAGAAAAATTCAAATAACCAAGTTTTTGGTTTTTTTATTTATCTTTTCCAAAAACATATTTTTTTACATTTACAAGTAAAATTAAGTAAATCTTTAGTGATATGTACTATAATTAATAAAAAAAAAAGCAATTAGAGGTTAACTTATCGCTACTGTTTTACATGTATTTTAATAAATGTTCAAAATATAGTCTTTTAGATATCTCTATTCAAAATGTAGTCTAGATCTTGTCTAACGACGTGTGGATTGTGATATGATCACCGATGTTCGTAATGTTCATATGGATAAACCCACACGAGTAAACAAGGCCTCGTCTGTTCACAAAATATTGGCACTGGGGTGTGCGATATGCCACTCGCAGTTTTTTTTTTTTTTTTTTTAAAAAAGACAACTCTCGCATTAGGAATAAATCCTGTGTCGCGGGGGACTTTACAAACATACATGAAACGGACACAAAGAACACCCAGACTCAGAACAACAATTTGTGGATCACAAAGTGTCGTCCCATGTGGGTTTGAACCCACAACACTCGGCGAAGTAGGAAGCGGCGTGGCGACCGCTTAAACCACTACGCCATCCGTGCAGTCAATTGTCAATTGTCGAAGAGGTAATGCGTCTGTTTCTTGTAAGTCTTGGACTTTTTGCAGCTTTTGCTTTTTGGACTGGTGCAAGCCAGCAGTATTTATCAGCTTCGACGGGGTCCACTGACCTATCAATTATTTAATTGTTGGATTTGTACCGGCCGGCGGCCGGGTTTCGCACACGTACACGGGGGACGCGGTATGGCGGGGTGCCACACCGCGTCCCCCGATGTATCTTTCCCTCACTGTTTACGTAACTAGCATAAGATTATTTTGTACGTTTAAATTAGTGACCACGCTGCTAAGTATTTTCTTGACATACTAATATTTTTTTTTGCAAAAATGGGGTCCTTAAATAATTTCTAGTGCCTAAAAAAATTTGGGCGGCAACTACGATTTCACGGTGTATAGAGGCAGGCTAAAGGGAGTATTTTTAGTTCCTTAAAATAAGGGCGACCTCATACGTCCGGAGCAATACCACATATCGATCTTATGCATCTTTTTTGAACAATATAAACCTTCTGAACCTCTGAGCTATTGCCCCATATTAATAGACCATACCAAATGACAGATTTAACATAAGTAAATTAATCCGTGTAAGCTGTATTTTGGTTTGATATTTTTGCTAATTTATAAAGAACATATGAGAACCCTTTGATCTTGTTCCTGAAGAATGGAACAACTTCGTGTACTGGAAGTAGAATAAGTCCGCAACAGTTATGATCTCGGCAAATATAATGAAATTTATTTCTTAGAATAATCTTTAATGAAACTTTTGGCATCGCTGCCATGTTAATTTTGCCTCGAGTTTAAGAGTTTAAAAATTTGTTTATATTTTATAAGATTTAATTTCATAATAAAAATCCCTACTTCTAAGAGGAAAGTCAAGAGCATTAACAGATTCTAGTTTGTTTTTCTTCAGTTTTCTTTTATTAGAATAGTGTGGGAAGTAGTACACGTGTATATTTTAGAGGTAATTCGGTTGAAACACTTTAATTGATTTTACTACCTATATAAGTATCGACATTAATATTGAATTTTTGAATTTCAGCGTATTTGTCAGGTCCTGATCAAAATCATTATTCACAATAATTTAAATTATACTAAAAAGGATTTTATGAGGGAACTAGATAATTTGACATGAAGGACACCGTTGTTGTTGCTTATTTATATCGTAACTTAGACTGTGTATCAAATACCTAAATCCGTGAATATTTTACCTCAAAAAGTGATTGTGAGAAACGATTCCACACCCGTAAAATGGAGACAATTGTTCGTCGATGTTTTTACTGTTCAATTCGACTGCGCCATCGACACTGGCAGTAATACTAACTTTTAAACTTTCGCGTTCCATGATAATTAATATTATTTAACGGGAATTAACGCGATCTACAGAATAGGGACACTGTTAGTGTGGTATGTGACGGTACATGGCGACACAAAAATAATATCGAAAATGTGCGGGTAGATGAAGAGCCTTCTACTTCACGGATTCGACGACGGAGGGCGTGCGCCGATGAGCCAGTCAGCCTGTGACCACGGCCGGTGCAACCTGGTCGAAACGTCAGGCAAACCAGAGGTATGTAATACCCTAAATAAGAGATCGCGTTAATTCCCGTTAAATAATATTAACTGGCAGTAATTTTAAGAATACTCTGGCTACTTGGATCTCACCGGCAACGATTTTTGAAAATATGCGGGTCATTGTTGGCGGTTGGCGTCGAGTTATGAAATGTATGTTTAGTTTTCCTAAATAAATACATTAATACCATCATACCAGAGAACCAAAGTCATTGACATAGCCCACCAGAATAGTAAGCTGAAGTGGCAGTAGTCGCAAAACCGACAACCGTTGGGGTAAACGAGTTCTTGAATTGAAGTCGCGTCTTGGCAAACGTAATGTCGGACGCCCACAGGCCAGGTGGAGATGAAGATTTTCGCAAAGAAAGAAATAAAGAAGCCGATGATCGATCAAGGTGGCGTGCAAAGGGAGAGGTCTATGTCCATCAGTGAACTGCGATAGGTTGATGATGATGATAATATTAGTAAACGCCTTCTAAAAATTAATCGACAAAATTAAATAAAAATGGTTAACTTGCTGAATGACTAAGTACAGAATTGTGGATAATCGAATGCTCAAATACCTTTAAATTGACAGATATGCCGAAACACTGTTATTTTTCCATTACGAATACGGAGTGTCACAACCCCTTATTCATACCGTGGGTATCGTAAAAGCCGTCTAAGGGAGCAAATTACACAAAGAAGGCTGCGTGATGCTGATGGCGCAAAAAAGCTTTCCTTCTCTTTGAAGATAGGAGAGTAGGAAGGAGAGGAGGAAAGGGAAGGAAAGCTTTAGCAAAGACCGTTCATCATCTTTCAAGGACTAACAGTAGATTACAATATAACATAAATGAGGCCATTCTATTAGCTACACAAAACTGAAAGAACTAGATAAAGAAGTGTCTACATCTATTTTGTGCAAAGGTGAAGTACAAAAAATTGATATGCCTAAAACATTGTGCGGAACTCAGAACAGAAGAGACATTAAGTGGTAAAAATAAATTAATAAATAAATGAAATAAAATAAATTTATATATAAATTGTAACCATTATGATCTATTAATGACCACCATGTTAATAGCCACATCACAGTTTTTAACTAATCTGGCTGTTATTGAACATCTTTAAATTATATATTGTTTTCTTGTGTGGCGACTTTCATATACAGAGAAACAAAAAAGCTACAGATAAACTGAACTGTGGAGTAACTGCTAATCCTATATTACGATATAAATATTTTCTTTCTATAAAAATAAACTCCTACAATAGGAATATATCCTGTGTCACGGGAGACTTTACAAACATATATGAAACGGACGCAAAGAACACCAGGACTCAGAACAACATTCTCTTGCCGATTAACAAATATAAAACTTCCGAACATTAACCGTTGGGCCGCGGCCCACTAGGCATCATATTTAAGATCACAATATACTAGCATGTTATCTACTGGTGGATAATATGCTGGTTCAGTAAAACTAATAACACTGCACTTCTAAAGACGAGTGTATTGTGTATGGGCCCTCAAATTTATAATAAAGCACCAGACACATTGAAAAATTTGTCATTACAACAATTAAAAAATAAGTTGATTGACTACCTAGTAGAAGTGTTATTTCTGTCCAACCGACTATTTAAATGATGCAAATTATTTATTAAAGGTCAATCAACAACTGTAAAGTGCCATAATAAATTGTATGCAGTTTTCTCTTTTTATTATTTTGCACTTCTAAATGTGGAATTCATTTTTCAAATAAATGTGATCAACTTACTTTGAGTACAACCAATTACTTAAATTAAAAAAATATATATAGAAATAATATTCAGTAAATGAGAATCAAAGGAGTTTTGACATTATTAAAAATTGAATATTTCATACTCTTAGTCAAATGACCATTTATGTTATATTTTGAAATAATCCTTATTTTAGTTTTTACTTTGATTGTTTGGCTTAATTGATTTTCAAAATAACCAGGAGTATGCGCTCAAACAACTTGCGAGACCACTTAAATTTACATATAGAGACCTTGATCATCTCGCAAATAACATAACTGGACAAAACTACAGTTTAGCAAATTGGTACTGTTCAATTTAGAGTAGATTATGTAAGTTTAAAGACTACATACATAAATACTCTGCAAAAACTTATATTAAGTTATTTAAAACAAACTATACTTACTCTGACAGAATCTGCTATAATTGAACAGCGAATTTTTTAAATTAAGGTGCCCGAATTAATCAAATCTCGTGCGTCGGTATGTGTAATGTGTTCCAATGAAACTACACAAAGTACCTATACAATTTAATCTTCTGATGTCAAAAATGTCAACTTTGCCGACTGTCAAAAATCTATTTTACATGTCATATTTAGGTGTTGCCATGTTGAACTTTTTTTATGATGAAGGGGGTAAAAGAGCAGACAAGTCACCAGAAGGCCAATTCTCGTAATAAAAGGGGTCTCAATTCAATTCTGATCAACTTACGATTTCACAACTACTTAACTGTATTAAAAATTATTTTCGTAGTAAAGTGTTAACTAAAATTTTGACTGTAATGTGATTATATCATATTCTAACCGAAAATTGAATCGGTAATATTCTAGTCTTATTAATAATTATACGTAAATACTTTTTCTGACAGTTGTGTGATCGAAAGTTGATAGGGACTAGAATTCCCCTTCTAATGGAAAGTGACAACCACCGGCCATGAACGCCTGCAACCTGCAACTCAGGAATTAAAAGCACGTTGCAACTGTCGAGGTGGGAGTACACTCTTCACTTAAGGGTCTGATCTGAATGTCACATAATGTTAAGTGATAATGAAAATAGTTTTATAATTTCAAGTTGCTTTTGAATATTTTATCAATAAAGAAAAATTCGACATAGGTATTATACATCATCAAATAACCTCAAAACTGTCAGATTCCATGGTAACTGATTAACAGTAATAAGAACGAGATTGTATAAAAAATATATATATATATCAAACCTATAAATACGGTGTACACACAAAATATAATGTTTTTAAGTCAAAACAGTTACAAAACAAGCGACGGATCTCTTTGTATATTTTTTTCAATCGAAGGACACTTGGACTTGTAGATGCTGAAAAGTCAGTTCCAGAATTGCTTCTATGAAAAACTAAACCGTCTGCAGATTGTGCGAAATGCTTACTGCTTACAAACGACATTGACGGGGTATGCAAGTTCATTCTTCCCCTACGGTCTTATGTCGTCAGAACATCAATAAATTTGGAATAGCAAAAAGCAGTAAACGTCTGATTTAAAAAAAAGACTGAAGTACTTTACTTTATTATGACATCCAACTATCGCGATTTGCAAATTGCCGTCATAAATCATAACTTCACAACTTAATTAACGGGGGTACTTTTAGTTTTTACGTTTGTTGACGATTGGCAAATCTGTCAATTCTGAACATGGTAAATCCTTATCTATGAAGTAATAAAATATGGCGGCTGTCGCAGAAACAGCCGATATGACGATTATAAAGGATTCTCAAATTTTAGTGAATGTTGAAGAAGCTCTAGCAGATTTAATAGTTGTTTCATATTGCACAAACGATAAAAAGTTTCAAGGTGTGCTTCTGGACTCCAATAAAGGGTAGGTCATGGAAGTACAAGATACTGTGTCTTTATCGATTATTGACTAAAACATGTGCAATTTATTCTAATTCCACTGTATTTTGCAGTAACTTACCTTTTGGAGTGTACAGCCTCCATCCAGCCTTTTCTAAAAAGCCTGAACCGGTCGATGAGAAAGATAAATTACATTCCGTTAGTCAAAGATTCACATATCAAGAGCCTCAATATGCGACTGAAAATGTACAAAGGTCCAAAAAGCCTGGGCCGAAAGGGAAATCGCAGCAAAAGATGACTGTACGACTGCGACCTCGAAAGGTCTTATGCTCAAATTGTAAAGGAATCTGTAACGAAAATAATGAAAACGTAGACGTGTCTAAAAAGCGTAAGGTAGAATCTGATGACGATACATCGCAGTACTCTGACTCAACAAGGGCAGTAAAAAAGTATTTAGTTGGTGGTATGCTTATTCCTAAGTTGTCCAGGTTACAACCAAGTGAAATCTCAAGTGCCATCAAGGGTGCACCAAAAAATTCCATTAAGGCTAGTGAAAAACAAATAAGAAATGATAAACCCAGTAGTGAGCCAAAAACTGAGGAAATGGCTTTTGTTAGTGTTTCTGATGATATTGACGGGGATAAAGACGAATTAAAAGACGATAATGATATGTCGTTTAGTTCTATGTTTTCAAGTGCTAGGACATTGAAAATATGTTTTGGGGAAGGAGAAGGCACTGTAGTTAAAATACCACCACTTTCAGGAGATTTTAATGAAGATTCAGGTGTCTCATGTGATATGGGAAAACCCACTAAAGCAGCAAAAAAAGCACTTAAGAAAGCAAAAAAACAAGCAAAGAAATCAAATTTGGAAGATCAGTCACCTAAACATGTTGGTGCGTTGTCACCTCACAATAATGTTACAAGTCCAATGTTAGACCCTTTAGAAAAAAAACATAAGCATAAAGTAAAACACAAAAAGAAATATAAGAATCAGAAGAAAAGAGATGAAAATACAAGTAAATGTATAGATAGTGAGCAGATGGACTATTTCAGTGATATCAAAGAACACTGTATGAAACAAAAGCTTTCAATAAGCTTAAGAAGACTCAGTAGTCATTCAAATGAAAAGAGAAATGAAAATGATACTATAGAAAGTGGTTCTGAGGACTGTGATAGTGAATTGGTACCAGATTTTCCTGCCACTGGCACAGAGGGAGGTGGAGGAAGATTGTTAAGGGTTTCTCCTGGGGATATTGTTTGGGGTAAAGTGGTTGGATTCCCATGGTGGCCTGGCCGAGTTTTAAGTGTTACACCAACATCTAGAGCCCATGTATCATGGTATGCTTCAACAACATCATCATTGATGCCATGTGATAGCTTGAGCCCATTTCTAGAAGATTACAAGGTATGTAATGTTTTTTAATTGACCAATAAGATTTTGCGCAATAAAGTCTTATATTGAGCCTTTTTGTATGGCATCACATAGTAGCCACTTCTATAAGTAACATAGAATAGATATCTATTATTCTTCTACAAAAGAGAATAGTCTTACACACATATATACTTGTAAGTCTATAATTCTCCAGTTATGTTGAATGCTCAAGTTAGTATTAGCTTATAGGGGGGAAGGGGGAGGGGAGTTTTAACCTTGAAGCACTTACTCACGAGTATGACCATTGACTAACATGACCCCTGGTTTCAGTGACTACATTGAGGAGATATTTAAGTTACCTGTAAAGCAGTCACAAAGATGTCTCTTGAATGAAAATGAAAAAATATTTATTTAGATACACAAAGCAAAGAAAAATATAAATTACGAAAGTGCTTAACAAGACATTAAATTAGTGTAGCAGATCTTATCACATAAATATTTAACACATTCCCCACACTAGGCAAGCCTGTATTGTGGGGTCCAACATATAGATGCTTATCAATATTTACTAAGGGAACATACCTATACAATATGACTCTGAATGAGGGGGTGAGGTTGGGTAATCAGATTATCATGCTTGGTCACAGGAGCAAGGGGAGGGCTTAGATTTTCATTAGGTAGGGTTAAAAATTGTAAAAAATTGATGTTTCAATGTGTCAGTGCGGTGACAGATTAAGAATACGGAGTGTCACCACCCTTATTAATCTAGGGATCCAACTAAGGGAGCAAACTCTGCAGGATAACAGCACTGCAAAGAGAAGGAAAACTTAAAACAAACCCTATACCAAATCATCCTGACAACATTGTATAGCAGGCCAAAACCTTTTTAAGGCCTATGTCCAGCATTGGACTATTAAATTCTGTTAATGATGATGATTCAATTGTTAATTTTTATGTGATAATTTTCTCCTCAACATTTCTTTCTTTGTTGCTTTAGTAAACTATTAATTTTAATATTTAGCAGTGAATGTCATATGAGCTGGGACTTTGATTAGTCACATCATAAGTTAATAATAATATTAATCACCAAAAGTGACATACAGTGTAATATAATATAATTTATAATACAATAATATTAATTAATTAACATTTTAGTTAATAGAGTAAAAAATGGACAGACATTTAATATTACATACATAAACTAACTTTACAAAAAAAGAATAATTATAGACACGCATAAGAACTAGCAAATATACACAAAACAAATCCTGATTGTTTCTGTTGATGCCCATCACACTTTCTGCATTGCCGTGTTGAATGGCGATGGCTAATCTTTGCACCAGGAACGAACCCGAACGGGAGTCACTATTGACTTCTGTGAGTGTTGACTTCCTAGTGTCAGCACCCTAGCTGCCCATGGTCTCCACTGCCACAGGGCGAAGTGGTAATGCTGCTCCAGTGTAATTTATTTATCCCTGACTGTGAGAAAGCTCAAAAGTTATTGGGTCTCATTAAAATGTATATTCAACAACCAACAAAACTAATTTTTATTGTTGTTTGTTAAGTATTCAATTTATAAAAAAGAAATGGCAATATTTTTATACCAAATTGTTTCTTACAAAAACAGTTGAATGTTTAAATTTTGGATTTATACTTGTTTTGATACATATTTTAGAGGTAAAAATCTACTTCAATTGGGATCAATTTTGGTATATAATATTTCTTTACATCCTGTCAATCTGTTATATTCTATTAGGATTAGAAAAATATAAACAAAGAAGATTGAACACTGCCATATCCATAGATACTATCATCATCATCATCATCATCAGCCTATCGCAGTCCACTGCTCGACATAGGCCTCTCCCATTGCACACCACTTAGATCGATTTTTTCTTCTTCCCTCCTCATGCAGATACTATGCCAACCAAGAAAAAAGATCCACTTGATAGAAGGTATTTAGCTTAGCGGGAGTTGTTAACGGGAATACTAGTCATTTCGGTTGCTAGTAGACCTTTTAAAAAAATATATATTTAGGAGTCTGTAAAGATATTTTTTTTAAAGACAAAGACAAGATTTTGTACAAAAAAAAAATTGTGTGCGGCGAACTGGCTTGTGGTTAGTGACCCTGACTGCTACGCCAGAGCGCACGGTCATTTGTTCTATGTCTGGGTGTACTTTATCTATAATATGTATGTATTTAGAAATATATAAACAGTAGGTGGCCAAATTGTTAGGGAAACTATTGAGATTTTTGCATTTCCTAGTTTAATTGGATTTCTGTAACAAACGATTAGTTGTTGGTCTCTTATTTATTTTTTATTTATATCTGTATCACACGTGTAAGGGTCACAAAAACAACAAAAAATTATGCAAAACTGATTTATATTCTTCGTATGAGTAATATTAATATTGGTAACAATTAAAAGAATAAATTTTAATATTTAGTGATGCCACCCTTTACTGCAAAAAGAGCTTCTATGCGTCGGGGCATGCTCCCAATACATGTTTTTGCATTTTCCTTGTGTTTGGAGTTGTGATGCCATTCTCTGATGAGAGTTTCAATCAATTGTCGCTTAGTGGTAATCACTTAATTCGCAATCGCCCGTTTGGTGAGTTCCCACATGTTTTCTATGGGATTCATGTCTGGTGAATTCCCTGGCCAAGGCAAAACAGAAACATTTTTTTCAGCCAAAAACTCAGTTACTCTTCTTTGTGGCACGGTGCCGAGTCATGCAAAAAATGTATTCGTCATCATCAGGGAACCATTCATTGAGCTGCGGCAGTAACCGGGTTTCTAGTACTCGCTTGTATTGGTCTTGTTTCATTGTCCCTTCTACGATGTATAGGCGCCCCATGCCTTTGGCTGAGATGACAAACCACACCATGACACTAACCGGGTGTTTAACCCTCTCTATAAGGCAATCAGTGTGAAATTATTCACCAGGGCGTCGTCTTACAAAAGAACTTTTGTCAACCAAAGTTTTAAAGGTTGATTCGTCGGAAAAACACCTGTAATTAATACAATGAATAGTAGAATAAATAAATAAATTGTTATTGACCAATTGCATTATTTAAAATAGTTACACTTACTCGACTCCAGTCATATATCGATGGCGATCATAGGCGTGGTTTTTTGAAAGGCCGCCGTCCCATCAGATTCTCTTCGACCAACCGCCTCCGCATTGTGCTCTCTGAAATCTTTACGCCCTCTTCATTTATCATAGTAGTCAAACGAGCAACTCTCTTTTTACGATTTTCGAGGCAGATGTTTTTTCGATCAACGTTACGAGTACGTGTTAATCCTTTTCCTGCCACATTTGCCAGCACGATTTACTTCAAGAGGCTTTTTATTGTCAATTTTTATTCGATTGACGACAGACTTTGAAACCCCAGTAATAGCTGCTATGTCTCTCTGGGAATGTGTGGAGTGCAGTAATAACGTTTGTATCTCTCTATATTTTTTTTGGAGACGTGTCCAAAGTCCTACCCATCATAAAAAGAAAAAAAATTGGGGTTATCGCGTCGAACCACTAATAAAATGTAAACTCATAGACAAAACACAGCAAAAGTATTCTTATACGGAGCATTACTTTCCTTTTGATTATTTAAAACACAAAAGTCGGTTAAAACCAATGAAAAAATAATACCTAGACAATACAACATCAATACCGCAAACCGCGCTTTTTAACAGACAAGGAAGAAACGTCACACAATTGACATAAGACGCACGTATTCTGTGTTGCAACTTGATAAAAACAATAATAATGATACCAGTAACTATATCAGATAAAATAACCGCTAAAAACATCATTTATGAAAAAATATATAATAAACTGTAAATTACATATACACGAGCACTGTCCCTAATAATTTCGCCACCTACTGTATGTATGTTTATCAGCAGCCTGGTTACCATAGTACAGGCTCTGCCTAGTTTGGAATTAGACGGCCGTGTAGGAGATATGTGAAAATAATATTATTATTAACTAAAATAATTAATCGTTGTCGTTTATGTCTCAGGCACGCTTCAACAAGAAAAAGCGAGGCGCTTACAAAGAGGCTGTCAAACAAGCAACCGCTGAAGCTAAAAGGAACGAAACTCTTAGTGGTGATCCTTTAGCGAGTCCTACCCACAACTTGGCAACAGTCTCACCCCAACCCATTGATGTGTTCTCATAAATGTAAGGTGCATCCGAATTTATTAAAATTCATGTGATATTTATAATTACTCAATTTGTCTGCACGAATTATAGGCTGTATATACATATTAGTTCTTAACCTGAAAATGATTTTTTTTGTACATTTCTTTTTAAAAATTGCTAGCAAACGGTATAAGGTCATGTAAATAGCTGTTTTAATGTGTATTGATTAATGAGCATAGTTACTTTAGTTTTACGACTTATCAAAAGATAGGTCTTGAAACTTTTCACTTTGTTTCATATAATTAAATTGTGTTGTGCAGAAAGAGTGCAATCCAAAAACTGGACTAATTAATAATGCCAATCAACTGTTCAATATTATCTGGATTCATATTTCAAAAAAAAAACCCGTCAGGTACGAGTCCAACTCGTGCGCCGAGGGTGCCGTATCTACCCAGATTTTACGTAGATTTTCGCGAAAATTTGTAAGTACCAAAATTTATCTTATATTCAACTTTTTTAATTTTTTTGGAATTATTCCTTTATTTGTGCTGTAAGACGTTTCTTTTTGCCAAATTTCGTGATTCTAGGTCAACGGGAACTACCATATAGGTTTTCGACACAAAACCTATAGGGTAAAAGCAAGGTAAACACAAGTAAATAGAAAATTCTGAAAAATAAAAAAGTTGAAAATTAAGGTCAATTTTAGTACTCAACTTTAATACTACGTCAAGTTTTCGTGAAAATCGAAATTTCCCTATATCTTTTTATCGTGGTGACTCAGGACCTTGATTTTTATACACCTATTAGGGACCATAGACCTCAGTATCTGGTATAAATTTCAACTTGCTAAGTCTCAGACGGACAAGAAAGTGATCTTATAAGGGTTCCTTTTTTACATGTTGAGGTACGGAACCCTAAAAAGGTTTTTTCTAACTAAGACTAATTTGGACGCGCGATACTCTCACGCCAACCGTTGGGCTGCGGCTCGTCAGGCATGATCACCTCGCCTGGTCCTCTCTTTTTGTTGGAGGGACATAACGTCGGTTTCTTCACCAACTCCTACTTTAGTCTTTTTGTAAAACGATTTTCTAAAAAAATATGTATAAAAATCATTTTTGATAGTTTAAAATCCATACTTTAATTTTTACTATTTATTAAAACGTTTTTCTTAAAAGATTTTAAATACAAATTTAGATTTTATTTGCTTAAATACCTACTCCAATGTTGTCTTCTTTGTGAAACGTTTTTCTAAAGAGGTCATAAATAAATATTATATTATTATGATGATAATTTTTAAAGTGGCTCTTGTGTATAAAGTTTTCTAAAGAAATTATAAATACAGAACATTTTTAACAGTTTAAAATTAATACTTAAATTTTGGCTCTTGTGGAAACGATCATTTCTGCACATCACCATTCAATTAATGTTTCTCACAATGATGATCATAGCATATTCTCACTCTCGTCACTACTATTGCAACTGTGTCACCTGTACAACCAATTCTCTGTTTTATTGTCATAAGCCGCATAGCCTGAGTTCTCGCTCTTAGGTCTTTCTCCTTAAAAAAAACTGTGAGGTCCGACCACACCGTCGAATTTATCTATCTATCAATAAGAAAAGATAGGTTCTCGTTATGGGATCTTGCATGTCCGTTGTCGATCACGGCTTGTGTCCGAGTGGAGCTGCATACCATCCCATATCTATTTCTGGTATTCTTTAAAGTATTGTTTTTAGTGTATCAACTGTATTAAAAGCTATGGTAACTTCTAATACATTTACAAATAGAGACTACGTAAACATTCTCTAATTAAGTAGCAAATAAGGGTTAAATGTCATAAATCGTACAGATATTTTGCTAGGTGTTTCGTATAATAAGGGTGACTATCCGTTGACTGATGATATTCGTTCAAATGTTCTTATCTCGTAAAGATATTAAAAATAATCAATGTCTGAAATCGTCAATTTGAATTTTAAAGTAAAAGTTAAAAGCATTCAAAAGAACCTTTCATGATTGGTTTTCATATAAATTTAGGATGATCTTCAACTGTTGATGAAGAGCCTTCGTCAGGGCAGAAAGTAATCGGGCATTCCCGATATACTTACACTAAAGTCCTGTCCAGCCTGTAATGGTCCACTGCTGAAGCCTCTCTTTAAAAGGGAGAAAAATTGTATACATTTAATTAATACTAAATGACCCGGTAAACTATGTTTCTATTACATACATCTGAATACTGAATACGGATAATACAAATATTTTACAACCAACAAATATGAAGATTATTCGTCATGGTTACAATATTTTACATTTTTAAATATAAAAATGCGGTAATCTGAATTGGAGATATATGTTGTCGAATCGAAACCTTTATGTAATACGTTCTTTAATTTAAAGTAACCCGAGTGTATCGTATCGTCAGCACAAAGATCAAAATATGTTCGACTGGTAATTTAAATGGGAAAATCAAATTGTTGTTTTTTTGTATTTTCATCACAATTTTTTCCATATTTTTTACCGTTTAAACTTTGCTTGGACATCCAAAAATATTTCAAGACCCAAACTAGCCAAGTCTCGTGCTTGAGCGAGACTAGCGAACAGCAATTTATTTTTACATGCATAGATCACAAGAGCTTAGTTACGAATTTCTAGTTACAGATCTTTTTGAAGAACGTCGTAAAAACTCGAGGTCCATTGTCCTCAAGAAAATTGCAATTGTTGTAATTTTTTGTAACACATTATAAACAATAGAAATAATCACAATAAGAACGATACAAAAATATGAAAAAGCCGATGATACGTTTGACTTGCAGTCTATAATGCTTTGAGTAAAAAAAACTTACAAAAACATTAAGTTCAAGTATAGAGCAGTTTCAATATAAGATTCGTGTGTAAAAATCAAGAATTTTACCTTAATGGTTATTTTGGGAAAATTTGTGATTCTTAGTAGCGCTTTATGTCATTTTCTTTTTTGCTCGAAGTTAGAATATCATCTACGTAACAAGACAAGACTAATAATAATTAGCGTAGTTAAGTCATTGTCCAACACTGATGTTGAGTCAACTTAACAATGTCTCTATTTATTCATAGCTACAATATTTCTACTCCCTCCCAAGATATTTTACCGATGACCTGTTTTCGACACATTTTGTTTTGCATGCGTCATATGTAGAGATCAATAAAACTGTTAACAATACACATTTTGCGTCCGTTCCGGACAGGAATGAAATCCTTTTTTTAAATTTCTGAATACATTTCACAAAAGTTTTGGTCGAATGTCATTTCTCCGACTTCTAACTTTGAAGCTATTTTTAGATGTGTACACTTATAAAAACTCATTAAGTGTTACATTAAACATAATTTTTAAGAAAAACATCTATAGTTTGGAATTTCACTTAAATATTTATTGTCATTGATCAGTATTGCTTGATATGTAATCTCCTATTATATCTGCACTTCAGATTCTAGCCAATCCAACGATAGGTAATAGGAAATTCGCAAAGAAAATATACCTAAAACTCAAAGTTAAAGACAACAGTATGTGAAGAAAATTGTACATTATTATGGGCGTTGCTTACGAAAAACTACTAACAATTAGTATCAGTATCATTTAAATACACAGCCACATACTGTGAGGCTGGTTACTTGTTGACTAAGATAGTAATGGCAAAATAAAAGGATTTCTAAAATTACTTTAATGAAGGTTTAGTGATGAAAATAGTGAAAACTGCCAAGGGCGTGTAACGCACCTAGTTGAGTGTGTCACGACTTTCGTCTTTTAAGCGTCAACTGACGCACAAACATACTAGGTGTTTAGTGTACTTTGTAAATATAGGTGATTGTAAATATGCGTCAAAATTGACAACTGTATAAGAATCACGTTTCTTTGTATACATATGGCTGATAGTTGCAATCTGAAATTTAAAACAAAGTGTTCAATTTAGTGTTCATTTTATGAAATTAGATGCAGCAGTTCAGAACATTATATAGATTTCATAAATATAATAATTATTGTTAAACTTTTATATACCATGAATGAAAAAAGTCTGATACAGCTATGAGTAGTCCCCTTTTAATAGATAGGTATGTAATATGGAGTAAAAAGTAAGTAAATGTTACTTACATTTTTCTGCTAAAACTGATATATTATCAAGTCATTTTCCACATGTTCTTCAGTGGCTGAGGTTGTGACAAATAATTTTTTTTTTTTTTTTTTTTTTTAATAAAAGACAACTCCCGCATTAGGAAAATATCCTGTGTCGCGGGGGACTTTACAAACATGCATGAAACGGACACAAATAACACCCAGACTTGGAACAACAATTTGTGGATCACACAAAGTGTCGTCCCATGTGGGGTTTGAACCCACAACACTCGGCGTAGTAGGAAGCGGCGTGGCGACCGCTTAAACTACTACGCCATCCGTGCAGTCAATTATCTGATTATTTTAACCATGATATGAAAAATTAATTATATAAATTTCAACTACCCTATTTTTAATTGTGTTTAAATAGTAAGATCCACTAAAACAGTCATAACAATCTCATTCATAAATTTTTATTTCTGGCCTTTGTTCAAAGATAAACAACTGGACTTTTCAACCACGATCCGATTCTCTTGTTAAAGGATAATAGTGATTTTATAATACAATAGCTTACTATCGGCCACCGCGTATTATTGCTTTTGATAGTATGATCTACATATAAATATGATCAATCTACCGAACTTTCACTCTGTCAAGCACAGTCGGTACTACGATGACGTAGTTATGTGTGTGTGCACGTCATAAACTAAAAAGTCGTCCGATTATACTAGTATGGGAGATGTCCAGGAATTACTGCAACCAACTTTGTAAAACATTTACTGCTTGCTCGTGACGTCTACGTGCGATTATTTGCTTACAAATCAGTTTAGTGGCGCGTACAACATCGAAACTGATGGCTACCAAACTATCGGCCGATTTGAAAATCTATTAGTACGCGGTGTTGGCTTGGTGTTATTTTCTTGCCCAAATTAATTATTATTCAAGCATTGGCTGTCAA